TTCACACGGGCGGCCCCGCCCGAAGTTGGGATTCCGGTGTCAGCTGTTGTCTGGCGCGGGAGGCAGAGGGCACGCGGGACCGGGCCCGAGAGGTTTGGCGCACGCTGGGCTCGATGCTTCTGGCGGGCCCGATCATTTTTCTTCGAAAGAGGCCGCATTGATCGGGGGTGGACAGACCTCCTACCCTGACACGTCGATTCAGGAATTTGCCGTTTTCAGTTCGCGAGAGGGCATCGCGGCCGTCATTTTTGCGGGTCCAGTTCCGTCGGTTTCGGTCCCAGGCCGTTTTCACGAAGGGGAGGTTTACTAAATGGAGGTTTGTCCACCGCCGAATTGACGAGAAAAGCAAGGATTCGACACACACACACACACACCAACCGCTGAAATCGCGGTGGCGGCTCATGGAGACTTTCTCCATCATTCCCAGCCCGAAAGTCAGTGACACTGTGGTCGAGCCGTACAACGCGGTGCTGTCTTTCCACCAGCTGGTGGAGAACGCCGACGAGTGCTTTCTGCTCGACAATGAGGCCCTGTATCCAGCTGCCTGCGGCACATGCCGCCACCGTGCCAGCGCAGCCTTTACATTTATTCCAGGATGATTCTACAGATCTCCTGAGCAGACTCGGAAAATAGATTGTGGAGCCATTTTGGGAAGCATCGGGGCGACGTTGTAGCGTGGAGCATCCGTATGAGGATTCTGGAGAGCCTCTTGAGGGTCAGTTGGGGATCTTTCCGCCGCCTCAGGCGCGATGGTTCTATCGAGCTATGTACAGGCTCGAGGCCATCTGCTTGGGTCTTGGGGCCGTCTTAGAGCCCGAGGCTATTTTGGGACCGTTTTCGTCCGTCTTGTCGGCTTTTCGTTTTCAATTAGGAGAAGTTCTTGGGCGCCAATATCCTGGGGCCTCTTATGAACGTCTTGGAGTCTCTGGGGAATCGTTGGGCTGTTTGGGGTTGGTCTTGGGCCATGTTGCAGCAGTCTTGTGGCGGTCTCGGGCAGCCTTGGCCCATGTCTCGAGGTCGAAAAAGGCGCTGAAGAGCCAAACTCAGTGGGGTGGGGCTTGAACATCTACTACGAGGGGGTCGCCCCTGAAAATTGCGGAACCCTTACCCGACAGCGAACAAGAATTTGACAAGTCCCAATGTGCTGAGGGCACGGCTGCGGATGACATTTGCTTCCGCACGTTGAAGCTGACCACGCCTACGTACGGAGATCTGAACCACCTGGTGAGCGCAGCGATCAGCGGCGTCACCACTTGCCTCCGTTTCCCCGGGCAGCTGAATTGCGACCTGCGCAAGATTCAGTTGCGCTACCGCGCGAATCTACCACTGGGCTTGTGGGGCCGCCTGGGAGAGCAGGCAGGCTTGGGGGCGGGGGGGGGGGACTGGGGGGTTGACATGGTGCATGGTACCCGGGCGTGGGCTTTTGGTACATCATTTGAGCGGGAGGATCCAAGCGCAAGAATTTGTTCCAAAAAGTGACATCGTGTTGAGCTCGGTGTCTTCTTGGTTTTTGCTGTGCAGGGAGCGGGCCTAACGAAAAAGACAAGGGCCCAACACACCAACTGCTGCAAGCGCGGTGCCGGATCGCAGTGAACCTGATCCCTTTCCCGCGCTTGCACTTCTTCATGACGGGGTTCGCGCCGCTGACGTCCCGTGGCAGCCAGCAGTACCGCGCTCTGACCGTGCCAGAACTGACGCAGCAGATGTTCGATGCGAAAAACATGATGTGCGCAGCCGATCCTCGCCACGGCCGCTACCTGACCGCGGCGGCCCTGTTCCGCGGCCGCATGTCCACCAAGGAAGTCGACGAGCAGATGCTCAACGTGCAGAACAAGAACTCCTCCTACTTTGTGGAGTGGATCCCCAACAACATCAAGGCCTGGCGGCGTGCACAAGGGTCCGGGGTCGAGGGGGCGGCCTCCGAAGGCAGCATGGGGGCTTCGGGAAGCCCTCCCCCCTTCTCAGAGGTCTGAGGGGTCTTCGATCCCTTCTGAGAAGCCCCCCATGCCTTTTCAGAGTGCCTCCCCCCTTGTCCCACCCCCTCTGGCTCGCCGCCCAAAAGGCTTCCGTGTGCGACATCCCCCCGAAGGGTCTGAAGATGGCAGTTGCCTTCGCAGGCAATTCCACCGCCATCCAGGAGATGGAGGGGTTGATCAAAGCCTGTTTTGAGCAGTTTCGTCAACAATACTCGCTTGCATGTGTCGCTGTTCCTTCTTGTTGCTCTGGAGCCCACATCGGCGTATTTCCATCAGCCCATCCAGCAACAATCTCAGGCGAGTTGACTTGATCAGGCAAGTCGTGTTCCTTACCAGCTTGTAGATCCTGCCTTCTTGGCTGGTGCTCGCTCTGGTTGCACGTGATACCCCTGAATTTCGTATCGTTTCGGAGGCAGGCAGGAAGGAGGAGGAGGAGACGCTGCACGCAACGGAGGAGGACGAGGAGGAGTACCCAGGGCAAGGAGGAGTTCAGGAGGAGGCGGAGGACGAGGCCGCGGCGAGCGGCCCCGGAAGTGGCTGCGCGGACTGGCCGGAGCAGTTTGTCAAGATAATAGTTTTTGTATATATGTAATTCTATCAGGGCTGGACCTAAACGGTGTTTTGGCGATTTCGTGGGCTGTTTTCGTTTCGGCTCCGTTCTGCGGTAGAGGCAGAGTGAAGACAAAACGAGGGAAAGTGAAAACGAAACGAAAACGAAAAACACCGTTCAGGCTCAGCCCTGATGTATACTGTTCTGCCGACAGGCGCGGGCTTCCAGGGCCCCCTCCCCCTCCTCCCTCTGCTAGGGGGCCACATGCGAACCCTATCCCTACCCCCCACGAGTTCTGAGGGGGAAGGTGGGGTTCACTTCGCTCGGGAGCTTCCGAACGAAGTGAACCCCACCCTCCCCCTTAGAAATCGTGGGGGGTAGGGGTAGGGTTCGCATCAAGCTAGCCAGCTCGAGCGAGTCAAGCATGGCATGCCCATTCCCACCCGCCCTCCCACAACATAAGAAACAGTGATGGCACAACGGACAGGCTGCTGTCTTCCCCCTCGCCGTACCCCTAAACCCCCCAAATCCGTTCCGAAGGAAGCCTTCGGACTCCTCCCGGGTCCAAACGCACAACTTTTTCGAGTCGCGTCCAGCCGTGACTTAGAGGAGGACCCCGAGGGCCAGAAAGCCTCGAACACCGATTCTCGAGGCAACGAACAGGCTGCTGTCTTCCCCCTCGCCGTACCCCCAAACCCAGATCCGGTCCGAAGGAAGCCTTCGGACCCCTCCCGGGTCCAAACGCACCATTTTTTCGAGTCGCGTCCAGCCGTGACTTAGAACAGGACCCCGAGGGCCAGAAAGACTCGAACACCGATGCTCGAGGCGCAAAGTTCGAGCACCTCACTGAAACACTCCCCCTCGGCGCGCCGCCGATCATGACCTGTGGGCGGCGCCGGCGCCGTGCCGCCGCGACGGGCCCTCCTGGTTCGGGCTTCGAGGCTCCTCGGAAGCTCTCGCGGCTCTTGGGCCCACATCCCCGACGATAAGGTTTTTTCCGTGTTGGCGTTTTTCCGTCGACTTCGCACGTTTTTCCCTCGACTTCGCCCTCCAGGGAATGGTTTTTGGCCCCCCGGACCAAGAAGAAAAGAAAATATCAAGGACGCAAAACTGCTCCCGAGAAAGGGGTCGAGATCTCAGAAAGGCTTGGGACAAATTCGCCGGCCCAACGGGCCAGAGGCGTGCAAAGATCTCCGGTAACTAGTTAACAATCTTCTAGTTCGCGCGCGCGGGGCGACCCCTGGGGGCCCCCGGACGAAAAGTGCCCCGAGCAGGTCCTGGGCCAGCCCAACGGGCCAGAGGCGTGCTAAGATCTCCGGTAACTAGTTAACAATCTTCTAGTTTGCGCGCGCGGGGCGGCCCCCTGGGGGCCCCCGGACGAAAAGAACCCCGAGCAGGTCCTGGGCACGTCGGTCCCAGCGATGGCTTTCATCTTCGGCGCTGACTTCCAGGTCCCAGAGCGCCCCAGGAACGCCCCAAGAGAGCCGAGACGCTCCGAGACGATCCGAGGGGCCCTGAGTCGCCGAAAGATCGTTCCAAGACGCCCAAGATGGCCTCCAGACGGCCGAAGACGCCGCCAAGAAACCGCGGGGAGCCTCAGGAGGCCCTCCAGGAGCCTGAACAAGCAAAAACCTCCCAGGCATTCGTCACCCCAGGGCCTCCTGGAACGCCCCGGTGCCCAATGAATTGGCGAGCTAAAAACGTGCGCCGAGCCAGAGCAGGAGCGCAACTTTGAGAAAATTTCGCTCGGCGCCCAAGCGGGAAGGTCATTTCATTCACTTCGAGCGGGGGGGGAGGGGGGTGTGCCGCGCCCAATTCTTGCCATGCAGTTTTGCGGGGTGGACGACAAGAACAGCTATGTGGGCAGGGAAAATCAGCATGGCATTGTTTCTGATAAGTAAGGTGGCCCCTCCCGCCTTGGGGTTGCCCCAGAAGTCCGCGCGAGATGTGTGCCGCGCCCCGTTCCTGCCACGCATTTCGCATCGTCGACGACAAGACAGGCCATGATGATAGGAAAAACGGCAATCTGTATTGTTTTTTACAGTCAGGATAGGAGGGCCCGCGGCCCGCATGGACGTCCGCGCGCAATGTGCGCCGCGTCCCATTCCTGCCACATATTTCACACCGTGGGCGACAAGGCAAACCATGCAGAGAAGAAAAACGGAGACTTTGCATTGATTTTTTATAGTCAGGATGGGCGGGCCCGGATTGACGGCCGCGCGCGATGTGCGCCGCGTCCCATATGTGCGCCGCGTTTCATTGCCGCCACATATTTCGCACCGTCGGCGACAAGGCAGGCCATGCTGAGAGGAAGCAGCGGAGACTTTGTATTGATTTTTTACAGTCAGGATGGGCGGGCCCAGATTGACTGCCGCGCGCGATGTGCGCCGCGTCCCATTCCTGCCACGCTTTCCGCATCGTCGACGACAAGAAAGACGATGTTGAGAAGAAAGCGGCCACTTTGTATTGATTTTTTTCAGTCCGGATGGGAGGTCCTGGATTGGGTTGCTATCGGCCGGAATACGAGGTAGGTGGGGGTATATAATAATAAGGAACAAGGATGTGGCCCACTATCTCTTCCCCCTGCCCTCACACAAGACCTTGGCTGCTCTTGGCTGCTGCTCCTGGCGACCGGTCAGCACCCCTCCCCCGGTCCGCTCGCGCGACTGGTGGATGCAGATCGACTGAGCACCTGCCCAGACCCAGACCCCCCCTCCTCCCCCTCCTCCTCCTCCTCCCTCTCCTCCTCCTCCTCCTCCTCCTCCTCCTCCTCCTCCTCCTCCTCCCCCTACTTTTCCTCCTCCTCCCTCTCCTGCTCCTCCTCCTCCTCCTCCTCCTCCTGCTCCTCCTCTCGCTCCTCCTCCTCCTCCTCTTTCTCCTCCTCCTCCTCCTCCTCCTCTTTCTCCTCCTCCTCCTCTCCTCCTCCTCCTCCTCCTCCTCCTCCGCCTCCTCCCCCTCCCCTCCTCCTCCTCCTCCTCCTCCTCCTCCTCCTCCTCCTCCTCCTTCTCCTCTTCCTCCCCCTCCTCCTCCTCCTCCTCCTCCTAGCAGCTCCGAGCGGGCCCAGACACCCTTTGGCCTCACGCCGAAACTCATGATGAAGAACGCTTCGTGATGGGCCCGCTGAGGGCCAATCGGGGCCTTGTGTGCTCCTGGATGCTGAGCCCCGAGGACCCAAGGAGGACAGAACGGCATGAGCATAGACTTTGGGAACTCCACGTGGATTTCACGGATCGGCGCCAGGCCCCCCCTGACGACGCCTCCAGCGCCGCAGCTGGCGCGCTCCGCGCTCTGCGCGCCAGGGAGGGGTGCCCAGCGCCGATCCAAGAAATGCGCGCGGACTTCCGAAGCTAATGTTTATGCCAGGGTATCTTCTTCCCGAACCTGTTTCTTATTCGCTCGAGCTCTCGCCTGTCCGGGCGGGCGCCTCGCGTCGATTCCTAGGAGTATGCCTAGTTTGTTTGTGTTTCTTCTCAGGAGATGTTCAAGAGAGTGGCCGAATATTTCACAGCAATGTTCCGTCGCAAGGCGTTCTTGCATTGGTACACTGGTGAGGGGATGGACGAGATGGAGTTCACCGAAGCCGAGAGCAACATGAATGACTTGGTGTCCGAGTACCAGCAGTACCAGGATGCCACTGCCGAAGAGGAGGGTGAGTTCGATGAAGAAGAGGAAGGCGAGCAGTGATAGGCCTCCGAGGCCACACTTGCGCGTCTGAACACGCGTAGACCCGTAGTCGATACCACGTGTAATCGCTGCGTCAACAAGTTCTGCGCTGGTTGACAAGTCTGCCGTGCATGCGCGCACGCTTTCGAGCCACGCGCATGCGCAACGACCGCGTGGTTTGAACTCTTGGGAGACGGCGTGCGGGTTTTCCACGCAAGCCTCCCGTCCACTTTGCACGGCATGCTTCTGTCCAGGGCGGCCGAAGTGCTAGATTGCCCCGCGTTCGTGCCACCTTCCCAAGCAGCTGCAGAGAACATGTGAAGTTTTCGCCTCTTCTTTTCCTTCCCTTTTGCCTCTCGTCCATTCCTCTTCTTCCTCCTCCCCCGCCGCCCCTCCTCTTCCTGTCGCACCGTGGTGGGGCCGCCCGCTGTCGCGGCCTCCCTCGTCGGCTGCCCTGGGCCTCGAGACCGTGAAGGCTGCCACGCCCCCCAAACCCGCTCCTCCTCCTCCTCCTCCTCCTCCTCCTCCTCCTCCCTCTCCCCCTCCTCCTCCTCCTCCTCCTCCTCCTCCTCCTCCTCCTCCTCCTGCTCCTGCTCCTGCTCCTCCTCCTCTCTCTCCTGCTCCTGCTCCTCCTCCTCCTCCTTCTCCTGCTCCTCCTCCTCGTCCTCCTCCTCCTCCTCCTCTTTCTCCTCTCCTCCTCCTCCTCCTCCTCCTGCTCCTGCTCCTGCTCCTCCTCCTCCTCCTCCTCCCCTCCTCCTCCTCCTCCTCCTCCTCCTCCTCCTCCTCCTCCTCCTCTACATTCCCCACGGCCCGTCGGCGGGCCTCGGCATAGACGTCGCCCGTGGAGGTAGAAGGGGGGACGGTGGCGCTCCCGTAGTTCCCTGGACCTCCCTGGTTGCGCAGGTCTCCTGTGGGCCCCCCTCAGCCTCCCTGGCTGGGGCCTCCCCCTCTGGGAGTCGTGCCCTGGGGGGGGTCTCCACCCACCTCCAAGGTGTGAGCGGGCCCGCGCGGTGGCGGCCCGCGGTGTGTTTGGGGCGCTTCAGGCACTGACTGGCGTTCCCACAGAGCGAAGCGAAGTAGTTTCCTGGACCTTGCGGCCATCTTGACCCTCGCCTCCCGAAAATGGAGTTGTGCCTTGCCCAGCTCCATAGCGAGGTCGGCGCGCCGTGCGAGGTTGTCTGCCACGACGGCCTCGGCCTCGGCCATCGGGTCCTGGATCCTCTGGACGGCGGCCTCGTGCCTCCCGACCTTGATCGAGTCTGCGGAGGAAGGTGGCGGCTGTGGCGCCTGTGCTTTCTTTGGGGCTTGGTAGGCATTCCAGCCCTGGCCGATAAGCCCGTTGGTGGTGTCATCGAACCTGTTTGCTTGTCTCCTCGAGGCCAGCAACGGGTCGTGGAGGAGGTGCTGATGGGACGGGCTGGGGCCGCTCGCCTGGGCTAGCCTCTCCATTGGCTCCCGGCCCGAGGTCCCCATCCGATCTCTTAACCGTGCTCTTCCCGTCTGGGTCACGCCGCAGGCTGGAGCTGAATACGGTTCAGAGTTCCGTGGGCCATTGCCCACCAGTTCGGACTGGGTGCCGGGGTTGAGGAGCAGGTTGACAGACCAACCCCACAGTGGTAGCAACGCGTGTCGTGGGCTGTTTTTGTTTGCAGACTTAGTTGCTGCAGGCGTTGGCCATGCCTCTTGAGGTCCGCGGAGGGCCATTCCCCCTTCCTAGTTGAGCCCTCGGTTCCAAGCGCGGCGGGGGTGTGCGGCGGCTCTTCTGGGTCGCTGCCATGGCAGTGCAGAAGTTCCAGCGGGCGTCCAGGCCCCCTACCGCTCCTGAACCGTGGTGGGGCAGCCGAGGAGGCGGCCTCCCGAGCCAGGATGGCTACAGTCTCCACCTCCCCGTCCCCCTCCCCCCTCCTCCGCCTCCTCATTCTCCCACCTCTCCCCCTCCTCCGAAGGGTCGGCGGCTTTGTCCGAGGTGCGTGCAAGCAAGTGGGAAGCACGCGCATCAGTGCAGAAAGCTGGATGAGGCGTAGACGCATCTGGTCTGCCCCCCTCCATCGTCTTAGGCCTGCTGCTTGCCTTTCTGTTTCTCCTGTCCAGCTGCCGCGGCAAATGCTGCCACCGTTCTCGCCCATCGCTCTTGGTGGCGACTGCTCGGGGAACGCATATGAAACCGTAGCGTGTGACGCCTCGTTTTGGGAGAGCCGTCGTCATGGGTAAGGTTTTTTGGGCCGTCGTGGGGCCTTGGATCCTCGGGCCGTCTTGCAGGCCTTCTTGGGCTGTCTTGAGGCTCTCTAGGGCTGTCTTGAGGCCCTCTTGGGCCGTCTTGGAGCCATCTTGAAGGCCTCTTGGGCCGTCTCGTTCTGATGGAGGCCGGACAAGGTGAGATTGCAACACTCATTGAACATAGTGTTTTTGGGCTTTCCCATGTGCGGTGAATCCGGCCGGGATTCGCCCTAGGCGATTCTTGGCTGGCTTCTTCTTCACTCTAGACTGTTTTCTCGGCGTCCGGCCGAGGGCGTCGAAGCATCGTGCAGCTTGTCGCCAGCAGCCACAAAACACTCATTGAACATATTAGCGGAGCCGCGAAAACCATTTGCCCTGTCAGCCCCCCATGAGGTCCTCTTGAACTCCGAGGGCCGTCTTGGAGGCACCTTGTGCCGGCCCGACGGTCCTGGTGGCTTTCCTCGGTCGCTTTTGGAAACGTCGGATGGCCTTGAGCTCGCCATAAGGGGGCCGCATGCGAACCCTACCCCTACCCCCCACGATTTCTGAGGGGGAGGGTGGGGTTCACTTCGTTCGGGAGCTCCCGAGCGAAGGGAACCCCACCCTCCCCCTCAGAAGTCGCGGGGGGTAGGGCTCGCATTTGGCCCCCTATCGCCAGGGAGGCGTCGGAGGCCCAGGGGCCTCGGGAGGCGGGGGGCGGTGCGCGCAAGTCAGCGCCAGGAGAGGGGGGGCCGTTGGCATGTTGCAGAACTCCTGCCAGACAGCACGTGGCAGTCTACCACGCCTCAGCCTGCCAGAGGACACGGCGGCGGATAGCTCAAAAAAAAAGAAAACCACATGTCCGCCAGCGTGGAAACATAGTTGTTGCCCCCCGGATGTGCAATATACCTGGTGCAATATAAATCGCGGGTTCGTAGCGGCAGGGTTATCCCAAGGTGGGGCTAGGAAGCGGGCCCAGCGGGAAGCCTCCGTTTAATGCGTTTCCCTTTTCCAGGGGCCGTCCGGAACGATTTTGTTTCAACCATTTCTTTGCCCCTACCCCACCTTTGTGCCCTCCGGATACGTGGTGCAAGTTGCGTGGGGTAAGCGACGTGCCGAAAACATTCGTACTGGAATTTGTGTGGCGCAAGCTACGTGTTGTGCAATTTGTGGTTGAAACTGCTTGGTGCAAGCTGTGTGGGCGTCGACGGAACGCCCACGGCCTGCAACTGGGCGAAAACCCAGGGTCCCGGCCAACACACGACGCGCCCACGAGCGGCCCCCGGGCGGCCTGCGAGGCGCCAGGCGAAACCCACAATAAGTCGTGGGAGGTCCGCAAAAGATTTCTCCGCTGGCGTCGGCCCACCCCGAAGGAGGAAGGGCAAAGGCGAGAGGTATCGCGCGTTTGTCCGCGGCCGCTTGGGCCCAAGCGATCGGCCGCCGACTTGACCGGGTCGCACTACGGCCCGCCATCTGACATCGATGCGGAAACAAATTCTTTGAGATGTCCCCTTGCCGCTCACGTGGCCATCTCCTACCTCTTGCTCTATCGTTAATGCGATGCAACAGGGTTGGACGTATACTACGCCTGAGGCGTAGTATCTGTTTGGGTCTCCAACCCCACTAAACTTGGTAGCGCAGCTGGCCGTTGGTGGCCAGCTTTAGCTCTATTCCTTGCTATCCATGGCGCTATTTGGTGGACTATTGATATGGTGGACCATCAGGGCGCAGTGGCTCTACTCGGAGGAGACCATGGCCATCGCAAGGACACTTGCATTGAAGGTTCTGCTCACGCAGAGGTCTCCTACCTGAGCTCTACATATATGCGCTTCCACAGTCCTGAAGTCCACCCACCAGCGCCAACTCCTGAATTTGCAATCTTTTCGGATATGCCATGCATGCGTGGTAAATTGCGTTAAGACATCGTGCCGCCCGCACTTCCTAGCAAAGAGACGGTAACGTCACCTCACAAACCACAGCCATCTACAACCGACACCGACTCACGAGGCCACTATATTGGCATCACTATCTTCGGCCTCGTGTGGGCCGCCATCGGATGTGCTATTGGACATATGCAGCGCGGTGCAGACGACGCGCGCACTACCCCCACGTGGGGCCCTGTCGGTAGCGTACCTTTCCCCGATTCCACTCGCGAGGTACATGCCTGGATCAACGTGGCCACAGGCGCCGCAACTCCCTCCCAACAGGCCGCCGCTCTACAGCGTGGCCTTGAAGGTCTCGCAAGGACCATTGCCGTGAAAGTTTCCCCTGCAGTAGTCGACTTTGGAGTGAGCATTGGTGGGCGCCACACCGATGGGGCCACCTAAATAATATTCTTCGTCAGCACTAAGTTCGAGAATCTTGAAGATGAAAGACAACTGAATTCGGTGGCGGCTCTCACTGACTTCCGCGTCCATGCGGGAGAACGGATCGACCAGACGCTGGCGCGTTTCGAAATCACACGCTTCGAAGCTGGCACTGCGGTGTTCAATGTCCCAAATTTCCAGATCTTGACAGTCATACTGTTTATGGCCGTAGGTGTTGGTGCTTCGCGTGCGCAGCAACTGCTGCAACCACTGAGCCACGAAATGCCAGGGACTCAGCAACAATTCGATTCCTTACTGGAGCGCACGAGGGGTTGCGCCCACATCGCTGAGCGAAGCCCTGGTAACATTGGTCGTGCGTTGAACCGCGGCCACCGCACCTGTGTCTTTCACAGTGACACTCATGCGGGGCGACCTGCCAGTGCCATCTGGAACTGCGACCCACAACCAGACGAGGCCACCACTTTACTAAGCCAACGAGGTGGTCAGCCCTCGGGGTCG